TTTTTTTTTTCAGGATATGAGTTTTTAAAATTTTTTTTTCACTTGTATCTGCTAGTCAGGCTTTTGCTAGTCTACAGTGCAAAAAATTAAAAATAGTCCCTTCTGCACTATTGGGCCTCCTTTGTTGTGCAGTGATACCTGTCATAGTAAAAAAACCCCAAAACAACCTACTTGTTCCTTTTGACCTGCAATTATAAAAACTGGCAGGTCATACAACTGCATCTTAGTAGTTATTGTTCAACTACCTGCAGGGTTTGTGATTTGGCTCTTGGTCCAGGTCAAGTAACTGGTAAAACAATACATTTTTAGTGGTTTTTACCTTTTCTGTCACAGGAAGAAAGTGCTGCTGGGGCTGTTAGCACACCTAATTAATATGTAGCAACCTGATGACATGTCTGAGTCCAAGATGAGCTTAATTATCAACAGAAATGTTATCAAGTTTAAATGCTTCTGTCAGCTTACTAATGGTGATGGGGATGAGCAGCTGACAAGTTTGTGCCCAGTGAAGTCTTTATCTTTTAATGTTACTGGCTGCGTGACAGATGGAAGAAGATTGCATTTGACTTTCAGACCAGGTTGTTTTCAGGATTAACAGAAAAATTATGCTTCTTAATATAAGATATCTTACTATAGAAATATTTGGTAATATATCACCATGCAAAAATTCCTTACGTATTTTTATACTGACTTTTTCATTGGGAAGTTCTGTGGAACTTGTAGGTGCTTCAAGTTTGTTCATCTGGGGGACGAAAGCAGGGAAGTAGTGTAGCTTTCCCTCCACAATTATTGCTGAAAAATAGCTTTCTGGTTGTGCAATATTAGATTGTGCAACAAAATTATATTTCTTTCCCTTTTTCAGGTTTTAATCCATTAAATGGAGAAATCCTGCTTTCAGAAGATAGGCATATCACTTGCTGCACAACTGGAAGTACATTACCAACAGCAGAGGAACATAATTCACTTGCTGATTCAGGAGTTAGCATTGCTGCTGAAAATTCAGGTACCTTCTCCCAGACTGTGGAAATGAGGATAGAGTATTCCCAGCCTGTGAACATACAGGGACCAGATATGGCAGGTGACGCATCCCTGGTGCACACTGAGGTCGTGCTGCCTGCTGAAGCAGATGGTTCACCAGAGCTGGTTCAAGGGCACTTTGTGAGCGAGAATGTGGTGGGTGGACTGGCAGCTCCGGAACTTTGCAGCTCCGTGTCAGAGCACACAGTGGGCAGTCAGAGCACTGACTTACCACCGAGTGAGGTAAATGGCCACAATCAAAAATATCAGGAACTGCAAGAAGAAAACCCTAATTTTGCAATTAAAGGACATTCTGAACAACTTCGTAATACTGGTATGACTGACGAGATGCAGGAACTTGAAAAGGTGTTTTCAGCAAACGTTGTGCCAATAAACTACCCACACAGTGCTCAGGCTGAGTCGCACCCAAGCGCTGTCCAGGGAGCCTCCCTGTCTGCTCATGTGAACCATGAAAACACTCTTAAAAACCAGAATGACTATTCCTGTGGGACAGAGGAAGCGCGTGAGCTGGTGAATACAGTCACTGTAGATGAAACTGTAGCTTTTGAGATTTCCGATGAGAGCCATGATTTTTTGTCTCAGGGACACGAACAGATTTTTATTCAGACTTCAGATGGGCTTATCCTGTCTCATCCAGACACCGCTGTTCTGTCTCGGGCAGAGGGCATCGTTATTGTAACCGATTCCAGCGGTACCACAATGCACATTCGCACACCTGAGGGGATACCTTTGGAAACTGTGGAAGCACTACTGGCAATGGAAGCAGGTGGCCAAAGTGAAGATATTTTGTTCTCGCAAAGTGAATTGGAGCCATAAATTAGAAAAAACCCTATAAGCTTTCTTCTGGAAAAGACTGATTATAAAGTGTATATTTTTCTAATGTGAATACTGAGATAATTGAAATTTAACTTATTTGTAAACTGTTTCTATGCCCTGTACTTTTTATAACTTATGTTTATATAAATCTAGCAGCATTGCAACCAAAAATTCTAGAATTAACATTGTTCTATTTGCTTTATATGTTGGGAATGGGTGGAAAGTAGAAATCTGTCAACTCTAAAATTGTTGCACTGTTCCCTTTTGTTACCTAATTCCTCCTCTCTCTAGCCATCTAAAAATGCAGTAAGTTGTACTGCTGTTCAGCAGTGATGTCCTGTGTACTGGCAAGCTGTATATGGGTAAAATAAAAGCTATATTCAAAATGTGCATTTTCTGTGCCACTGAGATTACAAAACACTTTTTCGAAGCATGAATATTCATTAGCATCTAGACTTGATGCACATAAATCTGCCTGGAAAAAACGGGCAGTTTTAAGTATAATCCACAGTTGGGTATTCCAGGAACAATGTGACAGCCTAGCTGATCCTTACTGAAAATAACCATCCACAGAGTTAGTGACAAAAATAGCCTCAAACAAGATCCGATTTGTACTGAACTGCTGGAAATGTATTTAAGTTTTGTGTAATGTTCATCCACACCTTTAAAAATCGCTGTTACTTAGACCTAAATGGGAAGGTGCATAAGTAGTGATCTGATTTTCCTTAACGAGGTACCACATTATTTTTTGCTTTAGTCCATAATGGCCTATTTTTGTAAGATTGGTATTACACTTTTTCCCTTTCAGATGATGCCTCCTTTATCAGTTCTACACCTTGACCTTCCTAGTAACTTCACACTGCCTTGCACTGTTTAATCATAATACAAACGTATCCTTGACTATAATCCCTGTTGCTCTAGGCAGGGAGAAAACTTGGCAAATTACTTAGCAACGGCTATCTTGTATTTTTGTCATACTTTCAATACAATCCTTAGATAGTATATTTTTGTGGAGACCTCCCAGCAGCTTCTTGTCCAAGGCACTGTCTTGTCTTCCAAGAAGTTTAACAGGTGAAAAAGAACAGTGTTGAATGAGCAGACATTACTGCAAATTGGTAACACGTCCTTAAAATGTGTGTGTCACCTCATTACTAAATAAATGAGGCTACTGAGGTAACTGGACAAATCCACTAAGGACCTTGATCTGCAGGAGAGCTGTTTTGTTGATAATCAAGTATGAACACTGATTTTTTTCATGGTATTGTTAGTGAAGAAAAACTTGAAAACTTGAATCTAAACAGGAGAGAGGACAATTTAGAGGTGAAATAGAATTTAGAGTGCTTTATGTCCCTTTAACATAAATTGGGGTTTGTTTTTATTTGTTTGGTTGAGTTTTTTCTCAGTTGCCTAGGTAGAAGATGAGTTTGATTAGTCAAAGCACTGCCTTTTATGTGTGGTTGTGAAAGATGCTTTGTATTAATGAGCTCCTGTCTGGCAGTTGGGTTTATGGTCTAGTATTTGATTTGGGGTTTTCCCCCTCTTTGTTTTTTAGGAGGTGGTAATGGCCAGAGGATACAGACCTACCCTGTAAATGAGGGTAGCATATGAAGCAAGATTCTGCTGGTCTTTCAAAGTCTTTGATTGCAGGGAGCAATTCTTTATTACACTTCCTTGTACTGGCTGTCTAATCACTGCATCTGAGGGCTTTAAATATAACAATCAACTGCTTAGAGCTACAATCACAAAACATCTCTGCAATGATTTTGCAGTAATCTTCCCATGTCTGAAAGCAATCAATAAGCAAGGGGGGCTGTGAATATGAGGACCCCTTCCTGAAGAGCTTATTTCCTCTAAGAAACAAGAGCAAACCACAATTTCCACCTGTGCAGAAAATGAAAATTTGCTTCAATTCTGTCTTTCCTATTGCTTTGCACATGCTGGGAAATACAATACACCTACTCTCATCTTAAAAGAACAATTCTATATGTGAACTAATCTTTTCTCCTTGGAAAATATTTTTGAAGTATGAAGGTGTTTCCATAGTGACACGGGTCTGGCCCTACTCAGATAAATTAAGGTGGCTGTTAAACTAGGTGGAACACTTGCACTGAAAAATAATAAAACCCAACAAAGCTGTTCCTAACTAATTGTATTCTCCTTGAGCTACAGCAGAATTGCTTTTTAGACACTAGAAATTTGGGCTAAGAATAGAACTCTATTAGCTGTCAGAAACAACCTCGTTCAACACAGCAACAAATCAAGAAAACTTTCCCAATTCATGTCTGTCTTTTCTGTTACTGCAACAAACTTATCAAGCTTACGAGGTTTCAGCTTGGAGCCAGTTAAGTAAGTGATCCTGCTTTTCCTGTCAGTACAGAGAGGCAAACGAAAATCACTTGATATCAGTAGCAGTAATCCAAGGAAAAACTCACAGAGCCCTACAAGAGAGGAAACAACAGAGGATATGGCCCTGACTGAAGGAGGTCTTGTTTTTATTGAACAGATGCTTTCATGAAACATCTATAAGAGAAAAAAGTTAAAATTAATTAAGAGACAAAACATTTTTATATGACTGGAATGCTGAGTTGTACTAAACATTCCCAGTGTGGTAGTTCAGGTTTGGATGACTCTTGAAGGGTGATACACCTAACACCACCAGACTCAAAACCAAACCAGAATTTACACTCATGTCTACGACTGCATTTCAGTACCATGTAACCAAACTATGTGGATCCTTTTGCATCCTCCCTTTTCTGCTTTCCTCTTCTCCACTTACAAAGCCAGTACAAAAGCACCTGTCCTGTTAAATCATGCACAAAAACCCCATGAAAGATCATGAAGTGCTGAAATTCTATGGCCAAAGGGACTGTGTAAGTGTTTCAGACTGTCAGGACTTGGAAAGAAGTAACATTCTTTGCTTTAGCCGTCTATGCGCATTGAATTCCCTCCAGATCACCAGGCAGTGCTTACCTCTTCCTGATTATAGGGGACTTAGCCTCCTACCTGTATCCTCTCAACTGCTCTTAAAATGGATAAAGCAACCAAAACCAGATTGTCCCATGCAGAAACAGGAGTATCAGCTAAGACAAAATAATAAATACAAACAGAGATAATTTTTTTTTAATAAGTTTTACAAAAAATCAACTTACTTGGTAAGCCTTGCAATTTGCCATTTCATGTAAGCATCATTAGAAGCCAGACACGTAACCTTTGGAATTCTAGCACTTTCTGTGTCCTGTCTCCAGCAGCATGGCTTCGAGTAGCAGTGTGCTGCTGTTCTCAATGTAAGGCTGGTATAACCATGATGATAAATACACCATCATCAGATCCTGGTCAGCAGAATGAGCAATGTCTTGTACAATTGCTTGCTTGAGTTGTAGTTCCTTCTTGTACATTTCAGAGAGCTTCAGGGAGACCTCATCTGAAATGGATTAAAAAAAAAACCAAACAAGCACATTGACTAAAATATATCAACAATTCTCTACAAGTTAAATTATACTTGACATACATGGATCATTAAAAAATCCACCTACCATATATAAGCTATTGCCCAAATATAGACGTCTTGTGTTTTAGAGCATTAATCATGTTTTTACACTACAATATCAAATGCTAAACAATTTCCTCTGCTTTGGGATATATTTTACACACATCTGATTTTTACATGAGTCCCCATTTAATTCTAGAATAAGCAGTGGTATTGGTTCTCAGGACCCACCATAAAATTAGCAATTAGAATCCATAATTATCAATTATAGCTATTCCTCAAATAACTGAAATTTGATTTTAAAATCTGGTAATGCTATCCTGCAATCCAAGCTTCACATGTTAAGAGTCCCTATTGATTTCAGCTAAACTAAAGAATGCCCCCACATGCTGTCAGGCACTTCAGCAATGCATCATCACCAAGGAGCGATATCGATGATGAAAAACAACAGCAAAAAACCCCAACAGACCAAAACTGAAGTAATGTAAAAACTAATGCTGTTACTAGCTATGTTAGTAATACTGACAGGGTGGTTAAAATGCATCTGTAAAATAATCTTTAATTGTCTGACTTCCTAAAAATAAAGAGAGACTGATCCTGTGTTTCTAACTTAGCCTGAACTATCACTGCCTTCAGGATTTAGTCTTTCATGGAGTAGACAGCATCACTAAATGATTCAGTCACAATGGGTGTTTTGATAGCAGTTGTCTTTGTCATTCTTACCCTTTTAAGCTAGCAGAAACTAATACGTAAGATTCCTGCTAAATTGTGGTAGTGAAGAAGCAGGGCTTCACATGACTTTCACTTCACAAAGAAGGCACTGGGTTTGCACAGAATCAGGCAGTCTTGAATTCAGACAGTCTTAAAACTGGGGTAATACCAGTTGGGAGGCAGTACCTTTTGCCATCAAGTGAATGCTAAAAGAATTAACAGTAGACGGTAACATTTCTTTACTTGTCTTGCCTGACACTGAGATCAGAGCTATTTTAGTTTGGCTGCCTGCAGAATTAACTGAGGTACAGCTCGCTCTCTGCATTCAAGGATTTAATTTCAGTGTCAAGCAGTTAAGCCTACAGCTTAACACCACCAAGTTGCACATAAGTCTCTCCCTTCAGAGGACGTGGCTGTTGCAGCTTGGCCACCGTAAGCTGCTGACAGGCTTAGTTCTGCGCTGTAATTGTTGCATGTCAGACAATGCCTGGCACTTCACACAAGCAGTGATCAGCAGTAACCCTAAGCCGAGTGGTGCATTCATGTGTTTATTGATCAGTCAATTGTAAAGGAGACACACACCCTCTCTCAGGCAAGACATCCAGATAAAAGGGTTTACTTTCCAGTCTTAAATTAGATGACATCAAAGACACAATGTAACTAGCTAAGATAATCAATATTTTTTACTTACAGAAGTATGGTGTGGGCCATGTATGAAAGAAGGGTGCTGTGCAATTCCCAGCTCCATGGCGGAATGCTTCCAAGTCACAGATTGCTTTAGTAGTCGAAGTAAGCTTTTCCATTTTCAGTTGTATTTTTGTCTGAAAAAAAGATGAATGTGCAATATTAATGAACATCTCAAAACATTAGGCTACTAAATCTCAAGGATTTTTTAAAAACACACTATTTATGAAGGCTATTGAGTCTTAACATTTCTAAATCACATTTTTTAAACTCCAGACAGACATGACAGCTGGAATCTATATATTTAATGTGAGATATCCTGAAATTTTGAACACTGGAGATATGACTGATTTTGCACATTCTTTTGTTTCCCTCATGTAGAAGCATACTAAAGCCCTCTGTCATTTTTCCTCTCTCTAGGTTTTTCCTATAGCAATTTAGCACCGGGGAAAAACATCAAACAAGTGTAGCACAAGCCCTATCAACACATGTTTTCTTACATTACCACGTAAAAATGTCTTAAATTTGATTTCAAAAGATCAGCAGCAGGTGAGAAAAGCAGCTCAAGCTGCTACTGACAGTGTATCTAGGCTGATCTAACAGCTTGCTCCAAAAAACAGGTCATTCCATCCACTTGCTTCACGTTCACCTGACTTTGTGCATCGCTGATGGGAATGAATATTTACAACAAAATGGAGCTTGCAGGCAGTATCTTTAAGTCCAGCAGCTAAAACAGAGATATCTCTATAAACTTATAAGCTGGTATAAACTCATAAGGAATGAAAAATAAAATAGGTCATTGTAGCTATGTTTAGTATCCAATCTAACACTGCTTAGACTCGTATTACTCAGGAATAATAAAAAATTGAATCAACGCACTTGGTAGTCTGAATACAAAACTACCTCAAGGGAAAAAGAACCCAACAGAAAAATGCACAAATTACTGTTACTTTTTCCCCCAGAACAAAATTTGAGGTAACTCTATCTCTTTTCCTGTTTCTTTCTAAATACTGGACGACTGCTATCTTGCCTATGTAAAAAAGTAGATCTACCACCTTTCTAATGGGCCTCCACTTTGGCAGAAAGCTGTAACAGTTATTTTTAATATGAATTTTAAATCACAGTTTCAGGCAGAAAAATACTGTTTGCTTCTTGTCAAACTGACAGGTGACATTAATTTCAAGCAGTGTATCCGAAAAAAAAGGTTACATAATAATTATCTTACTCCACTCTCTAGAGAAGGAGATCCACACAGCAAATGCAGGTAGGCAGACTAAAAATATAACTGCATTATGTCTGATCAAAGACAGCTGCAAGGATACGATGGCAGGTAAAGCACTGCTTTATGCTTTGTTGTTTCTTTTGTTCTAAACGGAGGGAATATCCAAGATGAGAGAATAGGTGCAGTTTTAGAATGCATTCTTTGTACAACTTATTTCCAGATCACTTTACAAAGGGAGGAGTAGAGTTAGACACAGAAGGCAGATGTAAAACCAACTTTCAAATATACCAATCAAGCAAATAAATGGTGTATGCTGGATTTATAATCATTTAGGTTTGAAGCCAAAGAACTATGAATGAAACCCCCAATTTTCTGTCTACAATAAATACTTGAGGACATCTCCTTATGGCATACTTGAGCACACTTGGAATTGATTCATATTGACTAAGACTGGAAAATGAGCGTTACCATCTGCTTTAAGGTCTCAAGTAATTCTGCACAGCAGCTGTCCAGTTCTTCATTGTATTTTGGGGCTGGCTTTTCAGGTTCTGTGACACTGTTACCACATGCTATCTCCAGTTTTCTGTCTTGAAATCTAAAATAGAAACATAAGGCAGAGTAAACAACTGCATATAGGTTTACTTCAGCTGTGCAGATTTAAAATCCGTGTGGCCTGATGCTACGCAGACTGTTCATGACAAGGTATAGCTGGCCACGAGAACAAATAGGGATGACACCATAATCACCAAGAGAAACACGGAACTACTGTATCTCAGAGCATGTGCTTGACTAAGGTGTGCTTGCAGGTGTTAAGATAACACTTTTTCCCTCTGCCCCTGTGTTGGAGGCTGTTGTTCATAATGGAAAAGGTTTGCCCAGGCTTTATCTGCTCTGGATGACAACCTGGTGCCTCACCACAAACTCATAGTTGTGCACAATTTAAGCCAAGACATTTATCTGTGAACCCAGAGCAGCCAATGTACAGACACCTACCCTGCCTGGCAGACTTTAGAGGGAGCTGCTATAGAGCAAAAGTAACATCTGGCACCATTACAGCAAAATACTCTTCAGCTTGTACCTGTCAGAACCCTGTCAGGCAAACCCTCTTCAGCTGTCAGGACTCTGAAGAAGCTTCTTCTCACAACCCTCTTAATTAGGTTTTTCTTCACAGCATGAAAATAATAGCTCTACCAAAGTGGGGTGGGGTGTTTTTTTAGATTTTCACAGGGTTTTTTTGTTGATTTGTTGGTTTTTAGTTTGGGGGTTTTATGTATGGTGGTGGTGTGGGTTTTTTTGTCTGTTGAGTTTTTTTAAGTCATTACTGTTAACATTTTTTTGTCTGTACAAATCACTGATTCTTTCTTCAAATCTGTTGAACTTTTGACTTGAGTGAAAGTTGTGTAAAATAAGTAAGAGAGTAAGGGAACTCATATGGGCTGAGATTTATAGATTTTAACTTTGTGGATTATATAAGTATTTTAAATATCTGTTATGTTTGACTATGTAAAAGAAATGTTTTCCATTTCTTGCAAATGACATTACTTCAAGAGATTACTTTAATCTTTATGAGACATTTATTATTTGAATGTAAATGGTTTATGTAACCAGAAAATGCAGCTGCTGAGTTTGATTTAAGAGCTAGCTTATCCACTGTGGCATGTTTTCTCCCATCTCCAAAAACAACTTTTTAGTGAAGAAAACAGATTAATCTCAAAATAAAGGCAATCTTTATGCTGTCTTTATTCATGTGTATTAGCATACTTACTGCTCACTGATCTTCATGTTGACTATTTTGTTTGCTATAGTAAATCCATTATCATTCAGTCTCTCCCATTTCATCATTAAATTATGCCAGTCTGCTGCATTATCTTTAATTTTTCTTGCACTGACAGATAAAACAGGCCTTCTTGGAGTACTATCAGCAGGACTTTTTGCTGTATGAGAAAATAAAGATATTGAAGCCATTTAAAGCATACAGAAATAAATCAGTGTCCATCAGCAGTTCGTGTGAATGATTTCCGTGCTCTACTGGAGAATATTGATTAAAGTAAAATGGAATTTACATTAACTGTCTCTGGTCATGGAATCTAATTCCTCATCTATCAGCCTTACTACTATTTATAAGAAAATGGGGTTATTAAAAGAACATAAGCACATTCTGAGATGTGCTACTGCAGCACGGACAGCAGCAGCTTTGCAGTGCTGACTAATCTAGCAGTCTTCTGACAGTCAAATACTAATGCAGTATAGGAAATCAAGGCAAAAATTACTGCTTGCATCCCATGCTCATGCCATGAAGGTCTGAATTAATTCACAGCAACATGTGAGCTGGAAGAGTTTGGGGGAAGGCTGAGTCCCACTGCATACAGTGGGCGCTTTGCTGCTTGAGCACAAAGCCCACGTCTCACAGTGTCTCTCCCTGGAGGCCCAAAGAGCAACAGGAATCTGCAGCACATCCCTCTGAGCACACGAAGCAGCCCCACCTTCACACCTCAGGCCCTGCCCCAGCAGCCAAAACAGGGCCCTAAGCCAAGCAACAACACCCTGCCTGCTCTTTTGCTGGCTTTAACTTTTATCCACAGAGACGCCCAAAAAGCGGTCACAGATGTGAAGGCCACACATAATCACAGAATGGGTCAGGTCAGAAGGGACCCCAGTGGGGTATCTGGTCCAACCTCCCTGCTCAAGCAGGTTCATCCCAGAGCACAGGGCACAGGATTGCGTCCAGATGGTTCTCGGATATCTCCAGCCAGGGAGACTCCACACCCTCTGTGGTCAACCTGTCCCAGTGCTCGGTCACTGCACAGTAAAGTTCTTCCACATATTAAGATGGAGCTTCCTGTGCATCACTCTCTTCCCGCTGCGTCTTGTGCTATTGCTCGGCACCACCGAGCAAAGCGCAGCTCCATCCTCTTGGCACCCCCCCTTTAGGCATTTATATACACTGATGAGGTAACACACATGGTGCGACACGCGTGTCTTCCCCCTCGTGACAGCGACAGCCCAGCTGGCTGGTGGGGGCACTACGGGCACCTTACACCTCGCTAGTTCCCCGAGGAACCACCAGGACCCCCCTCTGGCTGCTCCCCCGTCTCCTCCCTCCCGTTCCCTCCCTCACTCACCCGCCATGGCGGCCCCGCCGCCCGCGGAAGTTCGCTCACGTCCGGCCCCGCCCAGCCCGGCCCCGCCGAGCGGCGCAGCCACCGGGGCCGCCGCCGCTCCGCCGCCTCGGGGTCCGGGCAGCGCCGCTCCCGCCGCCCCTCCGCGACGGGCCGCGCTCCGCAGCGGTGAGTGCGGCCGAGCCGGGCGGGACCGCCGGGGGGGCTGCCGGGCTCTCGCTGCCCTCCCCGGGCGCCGCCAGCGGGGCCTGCCGCGGCCGCCTGTTGCGGGCGGTGCTCCCGGCCGGCCCCCGGGGCTCGGGCATCGCCGGGTGAGGGGGCTCGGGGCGGGGGCTCGGCGGCTGTGCCCGCTGCTGGAGGGGCTGCGCCGCCCGCCTTTTCCCAGAGCGCTGGGGCTGGGCAGTAAATCCGGCATAAGCCGAGGTAAAGCCGGCGGGAAGGCGAGGCGGCCCCGCGGGTGTCCGGCCGGGAGATCCAGGCTCTGTCTCTGTCCCCTGGCAGGAGCTGCGACCCCGCACGGGGCGAGGAAGCACCTGTTGGGAAAGGAGTGGTTCGGAACATCTCTCGGAATATAGTCGTGCGTCTAAGGAAGGGAGGCTAAGACAAGGTGTAATAATGGCTTCAAACTGAAAGAGGGCAGGCATATATTTTAGGTATATAATAGATATTAGGTATATCTGTGGCATTAAGCAGATAGATGTATGTATGATATTAGGAAGAAATTCTTTACTGTGAGGGTGGAATGGATTGCCCAGAGAAGCTGTGGATGCCCCATCCCTGGAAGTGTTCAAGGCCAGCTTGGATGGGGCTTTGAGCAACCTGGTCCTAGTGGAACATGCCCCTGTCCATGGCAGGGGCGTTGGAACTGGATGATCTTTTAAGGTCCCTTCCAACCCAAACCATTACAGGATTCTGTGAAGGATTCCTGGGGAAGCTGGGTGTCACAAGATCATCACCATGAGTACAGCCAGGCTTCCCTGGCCCCTCTGGGCATACTGGGATGCACAGTGACCCCAGGTTCTACGTTTTCTATCCTTTCCATCTCTTTCATCTCGGTTTGTTTATTTGTTTTACAGTCTAATTTTTATTATTTCAAAGAGAAAATAAACCTCATTTGAGCCAAAAATTCACGAGTTGTATAAAGCAAAGTGTGTGTTAATCAGGTAACCGTGACCTGTGTGCTGCTGGTCATTTGCCTGAGCACAGGACACAAGAAATCAGAGCTCCTTCAGCGGGGTGTGCATCTGCCCTCTACTTGGCAGCAGTTTGCTGTAAAAAACTCTGGTGATATGGCACTCAGGTACCCTGCTCTGGGGCTAAAAGTGTGTGAAGTATTAGAAAAGAAAAGAAAAAAAGAAAATAAAAGAGCTCTGGTCTTTAGTTGTCAAGATCTAGTTGAGAACAGAGGCTGTTGTGTTTAGCTGTGGTCATAGATATGAGTTTGTCTATCCTCTGAAGAACTTACATTTAAGTTTTTATGCCAAAGATTAAAAAAAACCCGAATGGAGCTGTTGTCCCTCTTGTACAAACAGGACACTTGGGCTCAGAGAAATGCAGTGACAGCTTTAGCTTCCTGCAGTCCATCTGTGGCATAGCCTGGCACTGAACCTTTAACCACTGCCTGTCTGCTGAACCACGGGATTATCTCTCGCTTTAGTTGCCTCTGTCAGGCAGCAGTAAGCCTTATTCCTGTCTGTGAGACCAGAGGAAATAAAATAAAAAAGTCTGCTTTTCAAAACATGGCCTTGAATGCAGTATTTGAAAGCTTTGTGAGATGAGGAGGAAGGACTGGTGATTGTTTTTGATGTGGTATTTTTCTCCTCTTTATCTCTGCTGCAGGGCAGCTGCTTAGCACAAGCTGATTTGCCCCGTGCGGCTGTATGTACTTCAGAATAACTGTGGCTGAGTGAACAGAGTGAGCATACACATCCAGTTCCAAAATCTGCCTGGGAAAATAGATTATATCCCCTGTTTGCCTTGGATTAATGAGGTAGGAAAAACAGATAACAATTAATCCTAAAGCTGTTAATAAAGAGGAAGAGACTACATGTGATACACAGCTGTCATTAGAGGATATTGAAGACTTTAGAATCAAAAGCAGAGAATTGTGGCATTTGTGCAGGTGCTTTGAATGTTTAGGCCACATGGGAAATTTTCTAGTCTCTTGTACATTTGTTTTGTATAGATGAAGTTTCTTAATTAGTAGTATTTTTAGTAAAGTCGTGGATTTGAGCTTTTAGTTAGGTGTTTTTACACGAACAGTGCAAGTGTTCTGTTAGTCTGTAAAAACACTTAAGATGAAACTAATTTGTGTATGATGGCAAGAAATTATAGTTTATAAATAAGTTTTTGCCTTTTTTGATTTTACAGGGTGAATGAATTACAGAGAAAAAAATAATTTCATTTTATTACAGTTTTGCCATCAGAGAATATTGAAAAAAGATTGTATGTGTATTTTATGAAGAGTGAGAACCCTAACCTAACAGCAGTTTTTAAATTTAACTTAGTATGTGACAAGAAATAATTTCTTCCATTATTTTCTGTGGGTGGGAAGGAAAACCCTACCAGATTTTTTTTTTTTTCCTTTTTTTTTCAATTGAATGTAAACTTACAAAATATGCATCAGGTTGCAGATAGACTTGTTCTGGAGGAAGGAGTAATAGTCTTTTTCTTGATAATACAAATGCGCATATTTCCATAGTTTGTAATGAATTACAAGGTTTTTAATGGTTTAGCTGAGCTGGAAGGGGAAGTGATGGAAACAGGATAAATTCTGAGGACTTGGAAGGTCCTTTGGCAGGTGGGGAACGTGAGGTGATTCCAGCTACAAGAGCAGCTTTGGATGCTGATTGATGTGAATTGTAGGAGTTGCAAAGGGGACTTGGAAAAACAAAATACATGAAACTCATGAGACAGTAGCTTGGTAGTGGTGGAAGTTGGACTAGACAGAGGGAGATTTGTACATGTGAGACTCAGGACTGGGTTTTTTTCTATCAGAAAAAAAGGGGAAAAAAAGAATAAAAGACCATGAACTAGCAAAATTACTAAACTTGCAAAACAGCCTATTTAGAACAGCAAATAAGACACTTTAGCAGTGGGTTCTCTTTCTATTCAGTTGACTGTGGATGGAATGTAGTAGGTGCTGAAGGAATGGGCAGGAAACCTAAAATAGTGCATGGAAAATAGATGCTGTGTGAAAACATTGTGGAAGAGTTGTGATGCAGTGGGGTTATCTGTTAACCTAGAAAACATCTCTGAAAGGAGCTCTTCATTCAGAAATAGTTTTGACTCGTGAATCAGCAAATCTTTGTGATATTTTGTTAAATGGGTGTCATGAGGGGTTAGTAAACACGGGAGGGAGTAGAATTGATTTCTAAGCTCTAGCAAGCAGTAAAAATTATCACAATTAATAACATCTAATAATTGGTGCTAGCTTAGTTACTGGTAGCTTTTGTAACAGATAAAATATGAGCTCAGTAACCAGTCTTTATTCCTGCAGTCTTGTCTGACTTGGGCTTGCATGGGTAATGTCATGCAAACAATCCCTTTGGATTTAGTGGAATTGTATGTTGATAGCAAGGGCCCAAAGCCCTTGTGCTGAATCCTCTTGCACAGTAACTGAAATAGTTTGAAAATTGAGACGTCTGAGCTTTTCACAGTAATGGAGATACAAAACTAGAGCAACTATTTTATTTTTTTTTTTTCTAATTTAGTTGATATACACTGTAAGCATTGTGTGAAACTGCCAAACAAATGCCATTTTCCATCCTTAGAGAACTTAAAACTACGCACAATAGGACATATCACAAATTCCAGTAGGGGTACTTCACGGAATAATTTTAAGTATTTAGAAGTGTTTCTAGTGTCAATTGGTAGATTTCTGTTTTTCATTTCTCTGAGGGAGTTTTAAGTTTGCTGAAACTGAAGAAAATCTTCAACATTAATACTGTAAACAACCGTAAAAGACTTTTTTCTTTAAAGAAATTCAAAATTATTTTCTTGGAAAACTGCAGGTATTTTTGGCAGATTCTAAACAATTCTGTTGATTGGTCTTGCTCTCATAGCAAAATAAAATTCTAGAAGTGAAGATTTTGTTTTCTTTTCCATATTTCAAAGTCATCCTGCAAAATGTTCTTGTCAAGGTTGTTGCAACGAGAAAAATTCTGAGTTTAAATAAGTATTTTAAATATTTTTAAGTTTGTCATTGTCAGAGCAGCTTTTTCTGGCGAAACCAGGATGTTGTTACTGTGATGAGCTATGGCTACATTTTTTTTTCTCCTCACAGAAGGCAAACAGACTCTTTGTTTCCGTTATTCTTAGATATTGTCCCCTAAGTATATTTACAGTGTCACTCACAAGCGTGAAATTATTTGCTTATTCATAAAAGGAAACATGGGCATATGGTACTTTTTTTTCTGTTTGCTCTTTATCTTTCTAAATTCAGTTGCTACATGGATATTTTCCTGGGACTGTCGAAATGGGATTTCTTCAATTTTTGCTTTGCCCTTTTCCTACCCCATTAGTTTTATGTTTTGGTTATTATTTGATTATATAGCAGATGTAACTTTAACTGAATTGTTTCTCAGCCGTGTTTTTTCTTGGGCTGTGGGGCCTTAAGGAGTGGAGCACAAGTACTGATTTGCTGCTTTGATCTTACATCACTGTCTGACACAGTGAATGTCCCATAATCTTGACACTGGTTGGATCGAGGGCAGAGGTTGCAGATAGATGAAGAAATGTATCACATGGGCTGTTCTGTGTCAGAGGCCTTGTGGTTCTTTCACCAGGCAGAGGAGAAGAAACACTGCATTTAAACTCAACTTTGACAAGCTTACAGCTGCTAGAAAAAGTGGTTATCCCATATTTAGTGGTTACCATGCATCCTTAGATGTTCTGAGAAATACACTTAATTTTTAAGGAGAAAGTTCTTCTAAGAGTAGCTACACTCACTGCAAGAGTTTAGCTTGCTTTTTCTTTATACAAAGCAAAAACTGAGAATTTTTTAGTCCTTACTTGCTAAATGGTGGCTCTCTGTTAACCTTTCACTCTCTTCAAACAAGTTAA